TCGTTTCTTTTGTTCTTTTTGTGTGATGAAGGAGTGACAGTCAAATCTTTTGTCTAGAACTGCTAATTGAAATTGCTGTTTCCTCCTTTCTCGAAATTAGACAATGACCATTCTGCATACTGTGTAACTGAGAACCTGCTGTCGCAGTGTTATGTTTTTCCCCCCTATTCAAATATCATTTGTAGTTAGTTGTTACTTTCATATATGTCTGAACATTTCCGTAGTGAGTTCGTGGCTTTGAAGTTTCAGTTATTTCAGTAGGCATATTATGGATGCTTGCTATCATATTTGAAGTTGATTTTGCTGTGCGTTATTTACTTTTTAGTATTTGAAGTTGATTTTGCTGTGCATTATTTACTTTTTAGCATCTATCTTCTTGTATATTTCTATCAGGTTTGTTTAATGATGTAAATATATAAGTTGGTGGCAGATGACTCGTCTACTTGGTGGTGGTGATGAATTTGCTGAGGATGCAATGTTCGGAAAGCTTGAAGGCATGAAAGATGTGATTGAACAAGTCAACAAGCAGTTCAAGGATCCAGTGAGATATTTTCCTTTTCTGTAGAATACACAATCCGTGGTAATATTGCTTGGTAGAGATTAGTTGAAAGGCTGTATAAACACATTCAAAATGCTCATAAACACTCCAGCTCCGAAATAATTTAGTGCTAAGGTTTACTGTAGGGCGTGCTGAGAGATGTAAGAGTACTTGTAAACTCAGGAACTAGTAGAAAACCTTATGCAGTGGAAGTTTAAGAAAAGGAAAGAACAAGATTGACCAGTTTTTGATTATTTCGATTCCTGAAATTGGGGGGAAAAAAGAATGCCGATGTGTTACAAAATTCAATTAGAACATAATAGACTGGCCAAACACAAGAGTAACAAATCGTTAATTCTTCATATACTGATTTGGATACAAATTTGAGGGGGAAAAAAGCTCAAATGTCTATAAAATTCAATGAAAAACATAATAGCCAGCGCCCACCTACTGTTTGGCAGCTTATTAAAAAACAACCTAGTGCGAACCTAAATAAAATTTGCAACCTTAGTCCCTAGATTCCTAACAATTATTGAAAGGCACTTAATTTCAAATAACATCTAAAAGAAAATTAAAGACACCTAGTTTTGAATAATAAATAAAATACAATAAAAAGACAAATGAAAATGAAGCCAGCCATGCTGTGACCCATCCGTATCCCATTCTTCAAAACGTCAATGGAGATTGGAAGCCAAGGAGCTTCATTCTGATAAATCCATTCATCAAAACGACAATGGAGATTGGAAGCCAAGCAGCTTCATTCTGATAAATTCAAGGATGATAACGTCATATGAAAACTCATGAAGAGTTTTTTTTCCTCCTGTTAAATTACCAAGCTACAAGTTTTTTTCTAAATGTTTGTGTTTGATTTGCCTTTCCCCTTCTTTCAAAATAAAAAACTCCTCTCTTTTGTTTCTTTGTTTATTTTTGTTTTTCCTCGAGTCATTTTATGAAACTTCATTGAATATTTAGGAGATTTTTAAGCTCACCTTGTTAACTTTGAAAGCCTTGTAGGAAAATAAAGGTGTAAATTCCATTTTCAGGAATTAAGGATGGTGTTTCCCATGGGATGATTGATAGGGAAAGATAAACAAGAGAACAGCTGGAAAATTATTGGGAGCGCCGGATGTACATATGTTAGTGAGATATAGGCATCTGGGATGAAGTGATGTCAAAATCTTGTTCATGTACCTTATTTCATCCATCTTGACCCAAACAGTGTAGTTTGCCTGCTCTGATTGTGTCCTTTTTAACTTACATTGTATTTTTTTGGGTTGACTATCATAAATTCCAGAAACGATCCTCCACTGTTCTTCTGGTTTTAAGTTTTACAGTTATTGAGTCTGATAATCAATTTCATGTAATTAACCAAAAAACCGGCTGAAATGGGATCAATTAGTTAGGACAAAAGAATTGGCATTAGTAGAGAATTAAGAAGATCATAAATTTAAAAAAAAATAAAAAATAGAAAAAATGTTGGGGTTTTGAGTTTTATGATCTTCTTTAACTGCCAACCTTGATTACATGGATAGTTGATGGTTCATCGTTTCATTAAAATCTGATCTTAAAGTACCTGAACTTATGATGATGAACCGTATTTTGTGTCATTGTTTCATAAAAATCTGGTCTTAAAGTACCTGAACTTATGATAGTGAACTGTATTTTATGTTCTCCTGGTTCTAAGGAATTAAAACAAAAGAATGTCACCTTGAAAGTTTTAGGCTCACATGAAGTTTTCCATTTGGCTTTCTTGTCATATATGGACATGCATCAAATATGATGATAACTTGGAAAGTGAATATAATTCTAAGAGATATGTATTGTTTCTTTTTCCCTATAGTACTGTGGTAGAGAGTTGCTGGTATTTTGGCCGACTCTTTTCCCTGAAGTTGATTTTAGCTACTGGATAATGCTGTCTGAAAGACCTTTGTCAATATAGTCTATTTGGCTTGGTCAATACCTTGTTAGCAATACACTTAGAGAATCATTAACTTTTTTTCATTTCTAATGTTTGACATATGTAATGCATACCTAGCAAAATTTCCTGATCCATCAAATTTTCTACTTTTGGACAGGATTTGACAACATTTATCTGTGTTTGCATTCCGGAATTCCTCTCTCTATACGAAACTGAAAGACTTGTTCAGGAACTGACCAAATTTGAGATAGATACACATAATATCATTATTAATCAAGTAATTTTTGATGAAGAAGGTATGCTTATATTTTTGTTATAATGGTGCTTTTCTTTTACTATATAATATCTTTACTGAAACTATAGTTATTCTTTCAGCTGTTGAATCCAAGTTACTCAAAGCTAGAATGCGCATGCAACAAAAATACTTGGATCAATTCTACATGTTGTACGATGATTTTCACATAACTAAGTTGCCATTGCTGCCCCAAGAGGTATATGATTCTTTTAATTTTACTTTTGGTGACCAGTACTACTGGAACTAGATAGGACCGGACAGTATAAAGATAAGATTTTAGTTTCTTTGTGTTTACCACTATATATTACTGTCGAATTCTCCTCTGTACAAAAATTCCAAATCCTTGAATTTTCCCACTGGATGATTTCTCATTTATGTGTTGTTAGCCTAATAACTGATAATATCTGCTAGGTTTGTGGGGTTGAATCCTTGAAAGCATTTTCATCCAATTTCTTATCACCATATCAACCATCCATTGTTCGAGGAACTATAGAGGAGCTGGAGCAGAGAATATCGATACTTAAAGAAGAGCTGAAGAATGCTGAAACAGAACTCGAGAGACTGGGAAAAGGAAAACAAAAGGTTTGATTCAGAAAAATTGACATGGAGTTTCATTGACTCCTCTTTGGCATTTTGCTTTTCCGAAAAGTAATAGCACATTTTACACCCCATTAGACTGTCAAGAGTTATCATTATGAATTATATTTGTTGCCAGGGAATGAATAATTGTTTCGTGAGTTATTTTTCCCTGTGTGAGGATGATCAATGAGGGAGTTTCATCATTAAAAAGAGTGACTTACAGCTTAAGTACTAATTTTCAATGTCAATGTGTCGATTAAAGGTCACACTATGTATCATTTATAGAACGTTACACCGTAGCAATTTATTTTACTGGGTTCGGCCTTTATTAGTAACGTTTGAGCTTATTTTCCTTTAGTCCATTGTTAACTTAGGACGCATAACTTATGGTATTAACAGTTCATGTTGTAAGATACGAAACCAAGTCTAGTCTTCAATTAGATGCTGATTCTTGCATTCGTCTTGACTCGTGTACAGCCTACCTAATCAAGCTGTTTTTGAAGAGAGAGAAGCTACAGTGACAGGGCCTTTGGACAGGCGCTGTGACAGGTGATTCAAATCTGGGGCTGTTCCCTGTCACAGGCCTGTCCAAAGGCCCTGTCCATTTAGCATTTTTGTTTTGAAGAATGTTAACTTGTAATATTGATCATCATGCACGTAACCCTTACTTTTAAGTGGGTTTGTCTTGTCGGATTTGACCATATAAAGAATTTAGTATAAAATTATAATGAATATTATTATACAAATGGTATTGTAATTGATTAATGTGAACAGTAAATTGTCTTCCTCCTTCGGCTTAAAATCATTTCCAACCTTTGTAGGGTTGGACACATTAAGGGCCCAGATGGGTCGATCACCCTCGTTGAATTTTCAAAAACTTTCAATTAGGTTTTTCAAATTTAAATTTTCAGATTTTTTTATTGATTTTTTTTAAATTTATTTTAGCCTATTTTGGTCTCACTCTCATTGAATCATAGTTTGGGGTTCGTCCTTGAACCTCTGTATTATGTTGTACAGTTGATGATCCAAATGAATATCTTTTGAATGAAAAGTTAAACAACACTATTCATTTTAGAAAAATTACCGAGTACCAATAGTTGAGTTGGATTTACTAATGCGCATGATTCACCATGAAGCGATTTTGTTTTGTTGGGATTTTTATTCCAATATGTGATTGTAGTCACCAAAAATCGAACATAGCAGTAAAGAATACAGTGCAAAAAATAAAGAACACCATAAATTGTTTACTCAGTTCGGTCAAGTTTTATCTGGGGGACTCAGAAGTAAAAAATCAAGCCCATCACTATGCAAAAATCACCCAAGAGAGAGCAACAGTTTGATTACAAGATTCAGATCTCAACCAAAACCATCTACAGATCATCGGTCTAACAAAAGACTTCACAAAATCATCTCCTAATCGACGCCTGATTTGGACTCAAGAATAGTATCTGCTTTAAAGTTTAAAACCCGATCAAAGAGGCCACAAACGTTGCTGGAAAAACACAAAATACTGGTATATAACACACTACAAACCACCAAATCACCAGCCACAAATACAGGCCAAACCACAGATAATAACGTCGAAAAAAGGAACCAAACTTGATCTAAAGATATCACTAGACCACGGCATCGAAATCCCCAGAGAGGGAGAGAAGAAGAAAATGCCAAGTGAAGAATAATGAAGTCTCTCTCTCAAAACTCGAACCTGAACCATATTAGAAAAAGAGATCTAAATCTAGGCCATTTATTCAAATCAACGGCCCATAATAGTGTAAAGAAACACAAGTCCAAGTGAAAAAGAAACGGCCAATAGGAGACTGCTAGTTAGAAAATATTTTATCACTTGAAAGAATAACATTTTGAGGTTTTGAAAATACTTTCACATGTTTGTTTTGCAAATGAATTTTATGAGTTTTTTGTTCTTATATATGTTCGAAATATTTCAAGAATCAATTAGAGTTAAACTAGTGAGCAATTCTTCTTGATTGGTTCAAGAAGGGAACCATAGCTCTGCATAATTGCATTAGATCGTCGCCCGGTTGATTACGAATTCCATTTATTAAGTCTTTTTGTTCATGTATGTAAAGAAGCGAAGACATCACCACCTGTTGAGATGGCCGAGTTGGTCTAAGGCGCCAGATTAAGGTTCTGGTCCGAAAGGGCGTGGGTTCAAATCCCACTCTCAACAATTGTCCCTTTTTTTTTTTTTTTTTTTTGTGTGAATTATTTTGGGATATTATTTGGGTACAAATTTATACATGGTTTTAATAATTCAGTCTGACTTATGTATTAATTTTAACAGGACGGCCATTTTGACTATTTATCTACAAAAAAAAAAATAAAAAATTGTAAGTATGCAACACCAATACATGAAAGCATGCATAAGCCTCATTTTTATTCAAAAATATATTTTGGAATAAGAGATTAATTGAGATTGTTTTGGAGAAATTTTGGGTTTGAATGTATGATTGAAAAGAAGAGGGACAGAGGTGCAGTGCCAGAAAAAGGACAACAAATGCCATAACCGATCCTCACATTTGGGGGTGGGGCCACTTCTTCCTTTCATACAGGGCCCGGGGCTGTAAAAGGCTGTCAAAGTCCATGTCAAGAATTCTTCTGACAAGAAGGCTTTTTCCAAAGAAGGGAGAAATGTATTTTGACAATAACGTCATAGAAGATGGGCTAACAAATAAAAATACCCCAAATTAACCATGTTCTAATCCGAGGTTAATTCAAAATCGCAGTATAATTTCTGCAGATATTAAATGAATTTTGCTTCTAAAACAGAGGAAATGGGGTTTAAACAATATTAATCGAGGGATCTTTAAGCGCCTATGATTCTAAGCTAATATCCTGCAATGGGACGAATTACTACCAGTTTATAAGCAATTTGAGCTCATAATTGCCGCCTTTTTAATTGATGAAAATTTGAAAATACAAGAGTTTGTCTTCTCATGTGCATATGATAATATTGGTATATGCAGGTTTATGGTTTATAAATTCTGTAATGTGTGCACTATTCATTGGCTTAGCTGGTTTATGGGGGTAATACAGACCCAATATGGTCAAATTGCTCCCGTCTCTTCCAGTTCTGTCCAGGTCTAAATAAGTACAGATGGGAGGGGCTTATAAATGGAAAAAGGAGATTTATCAAAAATGTCACTTTTTTTTTTTATAATGCACAAAAAATTTACTTGTGCACCTAATTTTATGAAAAATATCACTTTTTTTTTGTGGAAAATGTCCAACTTACCCTTATTTTAAATTTTAAAAATTCTGTTTTTGACTTTAAAAGATTATAAATTTTGGAGCAAAAAAATAAATAATAAATAAATAATAATAAAATATATATATAAGGCGACAATAATGGCCGCCGGTGGCAAGGAAAGGCAGCGGCGCTCACAGCCGTCGCCCAGAGCAGTAGCCTTGTAATGCTGCAGCAGCGGCGGTTGCTCGTTGCTGCTGTACTGCTGCAGCAACGGCCCTGTATTGCTGCAGCAGTGGCGGTCGCTCGCTGTTGGACGCCATCGGCACCCTTCGCCACATTGTGAAAGGAAAACAAAAACAAAACAAAAAAATTGTCCAAGTTTTCAACAACGGATTTGGTGTTGGAGACGGAGATCTATTGTGCAAATTCATAATTTGTAGGCCCCTGCTTAAAAATTAATATATAAGGTATTCAAATAATTCATAGGGTCAAAAATGTCCTAAATTGACATTTTTGATAGAAAATTTAAATGGTGACATTTTTCATTATGCAAAGCCAAATTTTAACACCCAATGAAATTTCTTCATGGGGAAAAAATGTGTTTTAAATAAATAACATATATTTGTGGTTTACAAGTCATGACCTCATAATATCATACGTTGCATAATGCCTGCAAGCTCTTCTTCTGCCCCTGGGTAGATCACAACTCTTTTGCAAATTTCATAGTAAGGTCGATTTAATTTCTGTTGCCCTTGTTGTTTTCTGTATGGTAATGGGCATTCATTTAACACATTCTATGGCCTAACAATTTTTCATTTTTATTTTTTTATTTTATTATTATTTTTTATTTATTTATTTATTTATTTTTTTTTTGAATGATAACGGTGAGACCTTGGAGTGCGGAAGCCTGGTAGTGTTTCATAAGAAGTTACCATTTATTTTACCAAAGTCAATCCAATGTTACATTTTGCTATGATGCAAACAAACTTGATTGGCAGAATATGAATAGATATGCCCCCAATCCTGGTTCCACAATTTTTACTTTTTTCACCCTCTTCCATATTTAATTGAGATTCAAAGCAAAGCAGCTAGAGATGTAAAGTTAGACACATATTCCATTTGATGATCTTTAACTTTTTGCATTTTACTCTAAATTTTATTTTCTTTAGTTCATTTCAAACTCATCAAATCTTCCCAATAAATTGCTATTAAACATTACATTTACAACATTTATAAAGTATTTTAGAATAACATTAAATGCACATTCAAGTGTAACTAGTTTTACCAAAATTTACTAAGGGGGTGTTTGAGCCACATTATTTGGGTAATAATGCATTCTTGAATAGTAGATTGATGGGAAATGTGTGGTTAAAAAATAAAGAAATTTTTTTTATTTGCATGTAATATTATTTTATTGAAGAATGTGTGGTTGAAATGATGTCAAATTACTGTTTAAAAATGTATTTTTTTAAAATAATGTGACTCAAACAGGCTCTAAAAATATAACTTTAATCCCACTGGGGCATATATGTTCAAAGTGCGTTAGATTGTGTGCTGATATGCCCATTGGACCTTGCTTCCAAGAATGAAATTGGGCCAATCCTTGTGTCAATCTCTATCTAGTTCTTCTCTCTTATTGTCCCTAAGTTACTCAGAAACCTGTGTGCAGAAAAAATACGTAATCAAAATTTTTTTTTTCTGATATCCAGATATTCCAACTTACACCAGACTAAATTCTGGACCTCCAGGACCCAATAATCAGAATTTATTTAATAAACAAAAGGGTGTCGAAATTGTTCCGAGTATTTTTAGTTCTGTAGTGCTAGCTTTTGGTTCCGTTAATCATATTGTTAGTATGGGCCTGCAACTTCTCGGAACGTCTCATTGGCTACGTAAGAACATCAGCCGGCCATTTGCCATCATTTCTTTCCTCTTAATTTCATATAGTTCGAAGCAAGGAAAAATGTGATGGTTTGTGCATAATTATTTTGTTGGGTTTGTAACCCAAATTAGGGTGGATTTTTTTAGATATAAATTGTTTCTTTATTTTCATATGGAAAAATTTGTTTTCTTATATTTCAAGTGATTTTCATGGAAATATATTAATTTCTTATTTCACATTATTTCTATCTTTATGCTATACCATGTA